ATCAATACCGTGTTCGTACAACTGATTTCTACTGGTTGCAGCATCCTTATATATACGGTTTCCACATTTCAAGCAGCGACAACGTATAACCTTAGAACCATTTGTGTGATGGAACCCAAATTCAATGAATGACTCGACTCCTAACTCATAATCCTCAGACAATCTATTTTTTTTCATCTATGACTTATCCATTGTCTTGATATTAGACAACTTATTAAATGATGAGGTAAACAATTTGCTGACGATAATATGGAAAAGAAAGAAACCACAAGTCGAGACTAATTTTAAGGTTTATTCAAAGTACATCAAATATGGACAGTATGATTAGACTTGTTGTCAAACTTCAAGAGTATGAGATCATCCCATGAAATACATCGTAGGGAGGACCATCCCAATAAAGAAACTACCATGACGTATAATGGTCATTAAAAGGAGAAGTTTCCTAGAAACAAACAAACTGGCAAAGATATGGAGCTAGCAAGTATCTAAATATAGTATCTAACTTGGTTAGTCTAACAATTAGACAACTCTCATAAGGTATAATTTAACTAAACTAACATGGAAAAAATAGAAACCTTCCTATTCTTATTCCTATTCCTATTTCATATTCCCCAAAATATAACAAATACACGCACTTGTTTTTTTTCTTCCCCACTCATTTTCCTTGTGTATATAGCAAAGGGATTGAAGAAAAAATATTATAATTGTTGTGTATATAAGAAAGTTATTACTAGTGATGTCTTTGTTCTACTCCTCTATGTCGATGACATCTTGATAGCTTCTAAAGATAAAAGCGAGATTCAGAAGATAAAATATGAACTTAGAAGTGAATTTGAGATGAAGGACTTGGGCCAAGGCAAGAAAATTCTTGGTATGGAGCTTCATAGAGGTTGTCCAAGGAACTCATATTGTTTATATCACAAGCTGAATACTTGAACAAGGTGATAAAACGTTTCCATTTGGAGTCTGCTAAGACAGTTAAAACTACATTAGCCCAACATTTTAAGTTGTCAACATGTCAGTTTCCTTCTACATCATATGAAATTGAAGAGCCATTTGTCAGTTCCATATGATAGTTTAGTAGGAAGCCTTATGTATGGGACGATTTATAAACTCTAACATTTCTTAATGAAACAATACTAGACAACAGATGCTTTAGAGTTATAAAACTAGCAGCCAATATTTTTACAAAAAATTGTTAAGGTGAAAGTTTGCCTATGTTTAAAAACCATAACTTCCATGAACTAAGATGGCATAACAATTAGATCTATGCATTCAGTCCACCTAAAAGAGATAAAAAATGAAATGGGAAAATAATCAATCACATTAACTCATACCAATAATTATTCAATTGAGAAGAATGAAAGCACTTATATGTCTTGTTGTCAAAATTTCAATATTAGGTAGACCTTTACTTCTAAATCCTTGCCATCGGCTGCACCAAGCCTATATGATGAAATAATAACATGATGAGAAATTAATTACAAAACCTTCTTGTTGAAACCATGAACTCAACTAGCCCGAAGCACATCATTAATCTCAGAACGACCAATATTTAGCTCATAACAGTCCAACATATTTCCATAACCAGAACATGTAAATTTTTCAAAACGAAACACAACCTCTCCTACGACGAACATATACCAACAGGTTTTTCAAAAAAGTTCAGCATGCTTTTCAAACACAACCAAGCAAACGACAACATAACAACTATCTTTAAAAGCCACAACCACCAACATAACAACAATCTTGCAAAGCCACAACCACCAACATAAACTCAGAATGCTTCAGCTCTACAACCTCATCACAAATATTCAATAAGTTCTTAGGAACACAACCAAGCAAGCAACTTAGTAAACACCATTGAGAAACACGTCCATCAATTCCAGAAAACAGTATTCAATCCCACGTGTTCAGAACTAAACAAGAACCAACATGTGTATCCAACAGTTCATTAACAATATAGCAAGTGTAGTATAAAGTTTAACTAACTTTAAGAACTACTAACCAAAGGGTCCTAACACGTCACTAACACCTTAATATTCAATACCTACTAAATCTCACAAAACCAATTTGGGCAATATGTGAGTGAATTTAAAAACCCTATTCAATTATTATTAGAGGGCATRCCAATTTTGAACAATAAATATTTTTGCAAGTAAAAGAGAGAAGGAAGAACCAAGCCAAGCTGTCAAAGAGACCATTAAAGAACAAGTTAAAAGAAACAATGTAACGCCCAGAGTCTCTCAGGTTAGTTAGTCTCGAATCAGGAGATTTTTATTTTAAAATTAAACTTTAATTAAATTTATATTTATCGGGCTCTAAACTCTAATTAGATTTATAATTATCGGGCTCCGTGTGGTGGGTCTAGTTTTAAGATGGGATGGATTTCTTTTCTCTTGAGCTTGGTCATGTTGGGCCTTTATTGGGTTAATTTGGTTTTAAAACAATGGAAAAGAGGAAAAAGAAAACAAAAGGACTTCTTCTTCTTCTTCTCTTTCTCCCTTGTTGCCCTAG